GCTTTTGCTCTCAGTAGCACTAACATTTACTATTCCTTCCATCCTCCCATCCCACCCTACTGTGATATCAACATAAGAGCTGGGAGGAAAAGAGGGTTAGCTAAAAGAACTGGGAATAACTAGAACAATGATCTGCATCCCACAGTGCCCCTGTGTGGGAAAACAGCAGGCCACTCTGGGTAGCTGGAACATCTCCCACGGCTGCAGGCCTGTCATTCACTCTGCTTGGGAGGAGAGGCAGAGCCCAAGCAAGCTGCTGTCTGCATGTCGCTGCCTGATTTCTAAAATTATCCCAGGCTTCCTGAGCCCTGCATTATTTTAACAATGATGGTACATACCTCCCTCACCAACTAAAACCAAAAGCTATACAACTGTAATATAGCAAAATCAAGCTTTAACTATGTACCAAGCCCTGTACTAAGCACTTAGATACATTATTAGCTCATTTGATGGTCACAATTACAATAAAGAGTAGATTTTTTGATACAGTCCCTATTTTACTTATGAAGAAAGAGAGGTTTCGAGGATAAGTAATTTGCTCCAGACCCTATAGCTACTAAGAGCTGAAGCTAAAGTCCAGTTTCTTCATCATTATGCAATCTTTTATATGATGCTTGCTACAAAGAGGTTATTCATTAAATGTTTTCAGTTGAATGAATGAGTGAATGAATGAATGAGCTAGTGTAGGAGATATCAGCAAACTCAAAAGACATTCATCACTTCTATTAATATAGACAAGAACATGTTAGCTCAAGTAAGACTTAGAGCATTAAAAGGAAATGTCATTGGTGAAAATATTGACTGTGACTTCTCCTTGTGTGAAATTCTCACCTATGTAAAATTTAACACATCTATTATGGTCCATCATTAGTGACTATGGAGAAGCAAAAAGGCAGTTTGAATAAACAAATAGAATTGTCAATAGAAATATTTTAAGTGACTCTCTGAAATAATTTCTTAATCTTCCTTCTGTTTTCTCACATTAACGAGTTTCTTGGCAGTAGTATATGTTTAAAATTTCTATTGCACTTATCTTTAGAGACATCGGCATAAATATACACAAAAGGGCTCATATTTACAGGCAAACATCCCAAATGTGTCCTAGTTCCTAAACTGCCCTTTGTTCCCAGGCTTTTCTGCCCTTCCGCACCCTGTAATCTTCTTTAGACTGCTCAAATGTCTTCAAACACTCCCCTTCCTAGCATGTCCAATATGAATTCCTCACTCCCAGCTCTTAAAGCCTCCCCCTTCCCAAATTGCCAAGGCTCAGGTTCGCAAGCTCCACACTGTCTCACAGATTTACAAGGCTCATTCTCACCTTCATGCCTTCACGACTGTCCCTCTGCCTGGAATGTCCCACCATTCTTTTATCTTTCAAGCTTTCATTTAAAGCAATGATCCATAATGCATTTTAGACCTTGTGGGAAGCAGCCATGTCCATGGACTGCACATAGTCCTCAAGAGCAGAGATCCATTCCTCTGGCATATTTGTTCCAACTTTATCGTCTTCTACTACATACTGTATTTGAGGTTTATAAACTCCATGCCATACTGGAACTAGTTCAGAAGAGCCCCTGACCAAGCCATCTGCTTGAATGCTCCTGACACACTCCTCTCATTTTGCCATTTCCATCTCAACAGCCCGAGGTTTCACATCTAATAAGATGGAAGACTTGGCAACAAGTGCAGGTTTTTGGCTTTCTTTGACTCATACTGTGCAAGGCATTTTCTCTTAGCCTCTTTGCTTCTTCACTTTCCTCCTTCCTCCTCAGATCCAAAGAGATCAATGTCATCATTGTCTTTCCTATCTGTAGCTCCACTTCCTGGGGTGTCTTCCATATTAGCAGGGCCATATTGCCCAAAGCTTTCTTCACTCCTGGCAGGCTGGCCTTTTCCCTTTCGGAAGACTTGATGTGATTATACCAATGTAGGGCATGATACAAGCTGACAGGTATTGGGCTGGACACCACTTCAAATACCACATCTGCTTGTGATGGCACATACCCCTTGATATAGCGCTTGTCCACCAGGTAGTTGCTGAGCACCGGGAGGCAAGTGGGGATTTTCAGGTCTCCAAAACCCATGGCTTCCCTGATCCTGGAGCTGGGCAGCAGCAGAGGAAGAAGGAGGGTGCAGGCAGTCGCACGAGGGCTGAGAGAGGAAAAAAGGCGGCCACACTTCTGCTACTCAGGTCTTCACTATGCCTAATTCAAGTCCCACCTCTTTGTGAAACTTCTCTGACCACCCTTGATTTTGTTAAAATAAAGACAGATGTGATCATAATCTGTCTGGAACACTCACCTCCCAGATAGCCCATGGTTCATTCCTGCTCAAATGTCAAGCTAGCTGTTTGGCCTTCTCTGACCACTCTAGTTAAAATGACAGCATCCCCTTACGCCAGCACTCCCAAACCTGATTTATCTTTTTTTCTTCCCAGCATTCATCCCATCTTGTATAGTCTATGTTTACTTGTTCATTTGTTTATTGTCAGCATCCTCCTGCCCAGAATGTAAAATTCCCCATGGGGACAGGGAATTGTGTCTGTTTTGTTACTGGTTAATCTTGGGAACTAAGAATATTTCCTGATACATAGTAGATGCTCAATAGATATTGACTGACTAAATGAATGAATCTTCCTCTCTTCAAAATTCAAAGGTCATAGCATGTATGATATCATATGGAACATTAACTTATATAGTTAATTTAGGAATGTGAATCTTTGTCTCTTTTACTGTATTTCCAAGACAAATATAAATAATTTCTGGCCCTGGCCAGTGTGGCTCAGTTGATTGAACATCATCTCATGCACCAAAAGGTCACTGGTTCAATTCCTGGTCAGGACACATGACCGGATAGAGGCTTGATCCCCAGTAAGGGGCGGGGGGGCGGGGCGGGCGTGCAGGAGGTGGCCAATCGATGCTTCTCTCTCATCAATGTTTCTATACCTCTATTCCTTTCCCTTTCCTTTCCTCCCCCTCTAAAAAAAATCAATAAAAACATATTTTAAAAAAGAAAAGCAAATCAATAAAAACATTTTAACAATAATAATAATAATTTCTGGTATCCTTTTATATTTTTCTCTCTTCATCAATGTATTCTTTCATTAATTATTCATTAATTATATGTTGAGCTTCTATTATATGATATTATATGCCAGGTCCTATTCTTTTATTTTTTTAAGAAAAAATTTCAAGAACTGTGATACACATAAATACATACACACACAAGCAAGAAAAAAGACTTAAAAAAGAGTAGTAAAACAAAGACTAGTAAAACCGAGACTCCAATATTAATTATGTGGGGACAGAGTGTACAAAGTGTGACAGACTGAGTGGGCAGAAAAAGGGAAAAAGAGACAGAATGGTGAGAGACTAGAGCAGGGTGTTGCCAAAGTAATCACCAGATGCTAGTGCTTAATATAAACTGAACCAAAGCAAATATGCAAATATATTTAACATGAATTTTTAAAATTTACGTTTCAAAGTTTTCCGCCAGCTATCCTGCAGGTAAAAACTAAACTGAGGCGAGCGACACCTGGTGGATATTTTGGGAGAGACCCTGGAGTTTCTCCCCATGTCTTCGGGCTGCAGTCATAATGCCAGCGGTTCTCAACCTGTGGGTCGCGGCCCCTTTGGGGGTCGAACGACCCTTTCACAGGGGTCGCCTAAGACCATCGGAAAACACATATATAATTACATATTGTTTTTGTGATTAATCACTATGCTTTAATTATGTTCAATTTATACCAATGAAAATACATCCTGCATATCAGATATTTACATGACGATTCATAACAGTAGCAAAATTACAGTTATGAAGTAGCAACGAAAATAATTTTATGGTTGGGGGTCACCACAACATGAGGAGCTGTATTAAAGGATCACGGCACTAGGAAGGTTGAGAACCGCTGCATAATGCGTTAGGACTCCACATTACTAATTACACTCTCATGAAATAGTCTTTTTGCAGGACTCAAGGTCTCACTGCAAGAGGAAGCCATGGGGCCTTTCTATCTCCCAACTAACGTCCCTCTGTCTTCTTCAGAATGCATACAAAATCTGACACCACAATTCTTCTGTTAAAAGGTAACTTATTACTTAAAATGTTCACATCCTTTGACCTAGGGATTCCACTGCTGGGACTCTGCCCTAATTAAAATGGTCTTAAATGAGAATTATTTTTTACAATGGGGAGAGTGAAACATAACAGTTCAACAATAGTGGAAAGGCAAAGAAAATTACAGACATTATAATGTTTTCCAAACATTTGTACCCACATTAAAACAAACATTTTAATAATTTTGTATCAACAAACATTAAGTTAAAAAAGCAAAAGTCAAAAAGTATGTATATATGACCTCAAATATGTCAATAATACTCATGGAAAAAAAGACTACAAGAAAACATTCTAAAGTATTTAGAGTGATTGCTTCTGGATGGAAGGATTATACATTTTTAAAATCATGGTTTGCAATATTTTTCAAATGCTCTATAATTAACATACTTGTTTTTACAAAAACATTATTTAAATCCTAAATAATGCATATGTTCCGATTAATTTGTAGAATTTTTCAACCTCTGCCTGGTTTTATTAATTTCAGACGAAGATAAGTAGAGTTTCCATAAGGGGAAGCAAGAAAAGAAAGCAAGCCCTGACTGGTTTAGCTCAGTGGATAGAGCGTAGGCCTGCGGACTGAAGGGTCCAGGTTCAATTCCAATCAAGGGCATGTACCTTGGTTGCGGGCACATCCCCAGTAGGGGGTGTGCAGGAGGCAGCTGATGGATGTTTCTAACTCTCTATCCCTTTCCCTTCCTCTCTGTAAAAAATCAATAAAATATAGTCAAAATATGTATGTTTAAAAAAAAAAAGAAAAGAAAGCAAATATATTATAATTTAGTTCCAGGATCTGAGTCCTTATGGAGAAACCCCCGGGCTGTAGAACTGTACTGAAAATCCAGTACTGTTGGCATGCTCCTCTAAAAAGTACACCAGAAACTTACAGAGGGCTCTGCTGGCACCAGGGAGCTACAGAGTCTCATAACCACATGGGTCCCCATCTTCACCATCTCTAGAAGAGCCAGGTCAGGGCCACCTTGAAATAAGAGGAGGAAGAAATGTGTAAAAATACAGGACAGGAAAAAATAAAATTCCAAAAGCTCAACCAACCTAGTGGGGTCAGCCCCTGCCTCAAACCTACCAATGTAAGTCTAAGTATCAGAAATAGATGCTGGTTAACAGGAACTCCAGCCCACGGTCTTATCATCACAACGGGGCTATCCTAATAGCATTTAAAAAACTAGTCACTTAGGTTTGAATGGTAGTAAACTAAAGAGTAATGCTTCCCTATCATTCGTGAAACAAGGATGCATTTTTCCCTTCTCCTCACATATATCAGTCTAAGACCAGAGCAAAGATTCCGAAGACAAGCAGGAGAGATACTGGGAGCTCTGCTTCTGACATGCACTTCCCGTCTTCTCAGAAATTCAGTATTAAACTAGAAAGGCAGCATTTATATTCTGCAGCAGGAGTTTTTATAGCACTTTACAGTTACAAAGTGCTATCATCTACATCATCTTAATTGGCCGCCACAGTAAATAACTCTTGGAAATAGAGTTCATTTCATTGCCCCCGGCGAATAGGAAATAGGCCCCGCCAATTAGTGGTGGAGGCAGTTTTCTAGCCACCTCTTCACTTGGTCTGTGCCAGGGAACAGGCCGGGAAAACAGTGATCAGGATGCTAATTGGGCCAACCTTTGACTACACACTACATAACATTCCCGGTGCTTAAAAATTCTCACACTCACGAAGCTGATACTAATATTACCAACTTTTTTGAGCTGTGATTCCATTTTCAGTACTCTATCCATCTTAAGCAGCCATCCCTCTCCGGGACAAGCCGAGGGCCAGCCGTATTTAGGGACGACGGTGTCCAGGTTGAGAAAGGGAAGCGCATTACCGCTTGCCTCCAAGTTCTGGAAGTCTGAGTCAGGAATGCACACTAAGAACCTGTGAGCTCAGAGCGGGTTCCAAACTTCTGCCTCCTCCTTCTCGTCCCCCCTCGCCCCTCCGCGTATCCCCAGTTCTGATCTGGCCGCTCAGCTGATAGTACTTCCCAGTTACCCGCCGCCTTTCAGCACTTACCTCTTCAATCATCGGTCCGACGGTCGCTCTGGTTCACCATCGCGGTCCCCAGCCCTTCGGAGCAGGGCCGCGTTCAGCTACAGCGTCGCCGCTGCGTTCTCGCTGCCATGGTGACGCGGAGGCCCGCCCCAGCCAGCCTCCCACGGACCCGCCAGCCTTCTGCCGGCCCAGACCCCGCCCCCTGCCTGCCCGCCCCGCCCTCTAACGCCCGGAGATCGCAGCTGTTCCCGGGCTTGACCCCACCCCCTATGTGTCTGCCTGACCCGCCTCCTGCGAGCCTGGGTCCCGCCCTCCGACTTCCAGGACCGGGTCCCGGTCTGTACAGAGGCGCCTCCTACCGGCCCGGACTCGGTGCAGAAGGGAGCTCGCCTCCGGTCGGTGCCAACCACTCCCTCGCTCCGCCCCGGCCGGCCTCTCCACCTGCCGGCGTGGAGCCCGCAGGTGCTCGCCCCAGAAAGCGCACCAGGCGTGTTCCGTAAGAGGTTTATTGTTCCTAGCGGCTCAGCACCTTCGAGAACCTACGGTCTGGCCACGCAGTGCTGTCAGTATCAGTGACTTGAGGTCCTGGTAATGGATGCTTGGAAAATGCTTCCTCCAAGCCTCAGGTGTCTGTTCAGGTCTGGACGTGGACCCAGCCACTGAGCAAATGGCCCAGCCAGGCCCAGGGCTGTGTACTAAAGCCCAGGAGGCCTTTTCAGAGCACCTCTTCTTCAGCTTTGCAGTTTCAGGTATGCAGCAGGGCATCATTAAATTACGTTCAACAAGGTCAGCTCAGGTACTTAAGGGGTAACCTGTTTTTCCCGCACTTTTTTCTTTTTGAGAGTAGGAGCAAAGGTAGGATCCAGACCTACCTTCCCGCACACTCAACCTACCACCTCGTTTTAAGTGCAACTCCATCCACCCCTGACTAACCCAAATACAACTGCAAGCTCATGGCGGCAAATAAGAGATAGGCATATGGGGAGAGAGCAAGACTGGGGACACAATTCCAGGGGCTCCTGAATTCTTTAAACTTAAAATGTGGCACCATTCCTGGGCTGCCACCCAGTTCTCCAAAAACAGTTCATTGTCTCACGGGAGTCCTGGTGAAATGATGGAAGCTGGTCCTTCTTCCCCCAGGCTCACACTAGCGTCCCGTTCTTGCTGTCATAGCAGGGTGTGGCCTGGGGGAAGCAAAGGGTGGCATACTCTGTAGCATTTTCTGACTGCAGGTGCTTCAGCTCCCGGGCAGAGCGTGGCTGGGGCTGGCTGCACACTTGAATGACTGCGTAATGTAAGTTGCTGTCGTCTGACCTGGGGCCTTGCTTCTGCTGCTGAGACGCCGGCTGCTCCAACACCTGCTTACGCGCATGTCCTGTTGTGACATGGCCCTGCCAGGAATGGACAACATTAAGAGAGATCCTTGGCTTGGTTTGGCCCCCTACCTTCCATGATGTCCCTCTATTTTGCTCCATTAGGGGGGCACCAAGGAGGAAGGGCAGAACAGGCAAGTTCTATAGATGACTGAGCTGTGTCTGTTCCAGGGGAAAAGGCATCCCTAGCCCGAGCCGCCCTCGAGAAGGGACAGAGGCCTGTCATTACCTTTGTGCCACTCTGCTTCTGCCGCTGCTGCTTCAGTGCCCATCTGGGTTGACCCCCTGGGAGGAGGAAATCCAATTTAAACCCATTCACTCTTCTCTGTCTCTACTGAGGTCGCCATCTTCAAACCTCTATTAAACTGTTATGGCGGGCTTCTAACTAATCTCCCTACGTCTGTTCTCACCTTCTTCACTCCCATCATTCCCATATCCAAACTCTTTAGTAGGGAATGCAATCTGGCCCTTTTACAATCTGCCCATAATATCTTCCATCCTCATCTTTCTCTGGTCCCTAACAGAGTTCAACAAATACATGTTGAGAGCCCATTAGATTCCAGGCTCTTCACCACATTGTGGGGATAGAAGAATGAGTAGGCTGCTTCCTCTGCCTCAGGGAGCTTACAGTCCACTAGGGGAGACATAGAAGTACACAGACTATTACAATGCAATGTGCTAAGTGCTTAGCTACCAAACAACTGGTCACTTTCAATCAAATCAGCCTCTTCTCTCTCTCCTTTCTTTTTTCTGCATAAGATAATTCCCTTGCCTAAAATAGCCTCTCCTCCCTGCTCCTCTTCCAACTTGTGAACTTGATGTTACTTCTTCAACATTGGTGTTTCCTGCCATTCTCCCACAGCAGGAGTATGCTTCTCTTACAGCACTAGTAGCTGGCGTTAAGGCTACTTGTTTACATATCTATCTCTCAAACTTGGCCTTCCCCTCTTTTAGGGCCAACACCGTGTCCTTCCTCTTGTGCCTTTCTCTCTCCTCGGGTTCCTTCAGTGCCTCGCATACAATATAAGTGCTCAGTAAAGTTCGGTGGATGACTGAAAGCATGAACAAACAACCTTGCCCACTGCAATAATAGAGAGGACGAGAGCCAGAGTTTCAGAGCTGGTCTTGAACCCAGTAACCTAAAGGCTCTCTGTAGTGCACTGTCTCCCCTTATCCCTCCCAACACTACCCTTTCCCACCCTTACGCTCCTTCCAAAGACACCACTTCTGTTATCTTCTCTAATTTGCTACCAGCTCCCCACCCTGGCCCCACCCAGTCCCTCTCCTCCCCCAGTTACCCATTTTCTTTTTCCTCTGGAAGATTGATGGGCAGCTCCTGTGAAAGGAAAAACAGATCACCCGTGTGTAAGAGACCTGGCCTCTATCTTCCCTCCTTCATCATTTGCTCTGTGATTGCTTTAACATTCTAGGATGAGCTTCCCTCCCCTCCTAACAAGTCACCCTGAGCCAGCCCCAAAGCATTATCAAGGATACCACACCTCTCCCAAAGAGATGGTTCTGGAAGGCGGAGTGGAACAACTGACATAACCAAACCCAAAATACAGACTCAGGCAGCCAGTCATTACATGCCAAGGAGGAAGCTGGGTTGAGCGCTATTCTGAGATTGTCTGACAGGCTAATTCCAGCAGAGGGTAAGGGAAACTGGCCAAATAATGGGCTATTCCTGGATTCAGAGACCCTCTTGCTTCTGCTTCCCTGCCTTTTTAGGGGTCTCTGCTAGTCTGGGGTTCTCATTCTGGGAGTCACAGGAGCTGCCACATCCAGGGCTCACTAGTTAGGGCTCCTCAAAGCCCTTTCCTAACAGGTGACCTCCCTCCCTGCTTCCCTGTCCTTGTGTTTAATTAACAAAAGTGTGAGATGTTTAACCTTTAAGGCCCATAGCACAGGGAGCTTTGAATTTGGTGAGTGACTCAGCTACCCCAAGCTCACTACAGGGCAGATCTCTGATACTCATTTCTGAGCCCCTAGGGTCCCCAATGGAGCCGGTGTGTCTATGATCGTCAGCTGTTTTATGGCCAGAGAAACCCTTGTCTGAGGAAATAGACTAAATAGTTTGGAGCTTACGCCCATGCTTTTTCTTGCTAGTACATTTCCAGCTCTCACCCTGGCCAACCCTATTTGTCTGGCTTCTGTCTTCTGAAGGAAGTTTCCTTTTATTGCTACTTAAAAAGAGAGGAAAACTTACAAACCATGTCCATTTTACTACTATGGAAAAAACAGGACCCCCCCCCCCCCCCCCCCCCAATTTCTGACAGAGATTTGTGTTCCGGTGAGATTTTTGGTTTTAACGCAGCTTGCTGAGTTGAGAGCTGTTAGTCACTATCTGAATGCTACAGGTGATTCAGAAGAAAGGCATTGAAACTATTTCTGGGTCTTTCTACTTCCTCTTTGGCTACTTCAGTTCTTCCTTTCTCTTACCACTGCCTACCAGCCGTGGGCAAACTATGGCCCACAGGCCGGATCCGGCCCGTTTGAAATGAATAAAACTAAAAAAAAAAAAAAAAAAAAAAAAAAAAAAAAAAAAGACCATACCCTTTTATGTAATGATGTTTACTTTGAATTTATATTAGTTCACACAAACACTCCATCCATGCTTTTGTTCCGGCCCTCCAGTCCAGTTTAAGAACCCATTGTGGCCCTCCAGTCAAATTTGCCCACCCCTGGTAGCCTCTAATTCCCTGCCCTTTGTCACTATTGTCTTCCTAATTACTTCTACTTAAATGGATAAAGAAAATATTAATTCTAAAATGACATAGGGTTGGGCAACTCAATTTTAGTAAATGGAGCCTGCTCCCAAGTTCGATATTGCACAATGCCTGGACACAACCCAAATGGAATATGCAGTTACTCTTTGGTGACAAGACTTTATTTTTAGCTTCGAATTAAGGAAACTAAATGGGCACTCTCCCATATGGTAGTAGGAGTAAAAATTGGTGCAATCTTTCTAGAATGCAATTGGCAATACGTATAAAAAGCCTTAAACAAATGTGTGTACCCTTTGGTATAGCAATTCCATAGCCTAAGAAATAATCTGGCAGGTGCAAATATGAATACTTAATATAGCATTATTTACAATGGCAAAAAACAGTAAATATTTTAAATGCCCAACATTGGGAACTGATTGAATAAATGACATCTCTAATCAATGGAAAATCACACATCCATTTAAGAAAAATGCTGGAAGAACACCTAATAGCATTGAAAATTTTCTTCCATATTAAGTTTAAAAATGTAATAAGATATGTTTTGGGATAAAAAACCATCTACATAGGCATTTTAAAAAGATTACATGGAAATATAATCAAATGCTCCTGTCATCTGTGGGTGCTTTTATTTATGGTTCTTATTTTCTGCTCTTTGGTATTTTCCAAATGTTCTGCAATGATTAAATATCACTTTGTAATAAGAAAAATATTTTAAAATAAAAATCTCTTTAATTATCATAGTATCTTTAAATCTCTGGAAGTTATTGAGATTATGAGAAATACTATTTACCCAGCCCTACTAATACTTTGAGAGGAAAAAATATACAGGGTGGGCAAAAGTATGTTTACAGTTGTTCGGATGGAAAATAATACAACAATAATACAAGAATAAACTCTGTTTTACGTACTCACAACTATAAACCTACTTTGTCCCACCCTGTAATTTGGTTAGACTATCTGGTATAGTGTTTCTAGCCAGGCTCTAGAGTCAGACTGATGCTATCAGACTAGCTGTGTGACCTTCAGCAAGTTTTAACTTATTAGGCTTCCATTTTTTAATCAATAAAATGAGGATGACAAAAGAACC